ACCATGAAGGAAGATATAAGGAGACTCCACTCAGTCTCGCCAGTCTACAAAACATGGACCCATTTTAGGTTTCGAGTTCAGTTTCCGATTCTCAACACTCGCAGCGCTCGTGAATTTAGTAGTGCTGTGCATAATAAGTGCGAGTAAGAGAAATGATCATTTCTCTTACTCGCACTCATCAGAATTGGAAACTGAACTCGAAACCTAAAATGGGTCCACTTTTATTTTACAGAGTGGAGTCTCCTTATAGCTTACTTCGTGTTGTAACCACTTAACCTAACATTGAGTGCACGTTGAATTGATTAATTAACGGATTTTAAATTACGTTTGACGTAATAACAATTTTGGTATATTATATCAATTATAATTTATTTTATAACAAAAAAAAAATATATAAACTATGTATGTAAATATAGAAAATATAGAAATATACGTATTGCTTTTATCGAATTTGGAAACTTTTTATGCACTTTGTATGCAAAATATTAAAACTGATTAAATTATTTAATATATTTATTTTAATGTAGTAATTTATTAATATATTACATTCAATTAATGTAATGTAATATATAATATTTTGTATTTGTTATTCAATATTTTTTTAATTAAACACATATTTGATTTTAATGTCTTGATATGTAGCTTATAATGTCTTTCTTGATTGATTCATATTAAAGATTAAGTTTTAAAAAGATATTGTGTCATATTGTATATTTTATATATTAAGTGATACGTTTGTTACAGACATAATGGCTAAGACACATACCACTAATAAAGCTCCGCGAAAGCAGGGCTTTAACCGTTCAGGACACAGTATGAATCCTGAACGTTCTACAGAAGGATTGAAAGGAGTTGCTAAAGTACGAACAAAAGCGACTATTAAAAGATTACAGATGTATCGCAATCAGAGACCAAAACGCAATCGTGCTGGAAAAATCATTAACCCTGCACCGTTTCAAGGCTGGAACACTTCTGGAACTGTATCGCGTGTGGAGCCATCTCAAAAATGGTTTGGTAATTCAAGAGTTATCTCACAGAATGCTTTGCAAAAATTTCAGAATGAATTAGGAACTGCTATGAAGGATCCTTATAAAGTAATCATGAAACCCACTCAACTGCCTATAACATTGCTTCAGCAGAAGGCAGCAAATGCAAGAGTACATCTGTTGGATACAGAAAGTTTTGAAAGTGTTTTTGGTCCAAAGAAGATTAGAAAAAGGCCGAATTTAGCAGCAATGTCATACAATGAATTGAAAAAATTAGCCGAGGACAGGGAAGATACTTATAATAAGGATAAAGACTCTAAAGACTATGATCTTGTTCGCGAGGACACTGGTGTAAAGGATGCACAAAGAGACTGGATCATGGCGGCAGGACAAAGCAAAAGGATATGGAACGAGTTGTATAAAGTCATTGACTCTTCCGATTTTATTTTACAGATATTAGATGCTAGAGATCCAATGGGAACTAGGTCTCCACCTGTGGAAAAGTATCTGAAAACCGAGAAACCTCACAAACACTTAATATTTATCTTAAATAAAGTAGATTTGGTGCCAATGTGGGTCACACAAAGATGGGTTGCGATTCTGAGCAAAGAATATCCAACAGTTGCTTTTCATGCCTCCTTAACGCATCCTTTTGGCAAAGGTTCTCTGATAAATCTACTAAGGCAATTTGCAAAATTACATGTTGATAAAAAACAGATCAGTGTTGGTTTTATAGGATATCCTAATACAGGAAAGAGTTCCATCATAAACACCTTGAATTCCAAAAAGGTCTGCAAAGTGGCGCCTATAGCTGGAGAAACAAAAGTGTGGCAGTATATAACTCTTATGCGCCGTATCTATTTGATAGATTGTCCCGGTGTTGTTTATCCGTCGACAGAAACCGACACGGAGAAGGTACTGAAGGGAGTCGTGAGAGTAGAACTCATTCAAAATCCGGAAGATTACATTGTCTCTGTCCTAGAAAGAGTGAAACCCGAATACATTCGTAAGACGTACAAAATAAACGTATGGATAGATCACGTCGATTTCTTAGAAAAATTGGCACGCCGAAGTGGTAAACTTCTAAAGAAAGGAGAACCTGATATTGCGACTGTTGCACGTATGATACTCAATGACTGGCAACGTGGTAGGTTGCCTTTTTATGTTCCACCTGTAGGCTACGAGGAACCCTTGTCAAATCAAACAACTAATGAAACTGTTATCACACAAGATAATACGTTAAAAATCACCGATAATAGAGAAGCACAAGAGACTGATAATCAACTTTCAAAAGAGATAAAAAAGAATCAGCTAACAATAACACAAGACTTTAGAAAGATACGCGTTGGATTACCTTATGCAGGTGAAGATGTCAAGGCTTTAGAGCAAAATAAATCTTTCAGTGAAAGTATTGCAGAGGATGATAGCAGTGTGGAAAGTGAATCAGAATTGGATAACTCGGAATCAGAAAATGCAGAAATAAAGAATGATTCGTGTACTATCGAAGATGAATCTGATTTACAAGTAACAGAAAATTTAGACAGTCAAGACAATGTGAACTATTCTTCGAGCAATGATAACATTCTCAATGATAACACAGATAAAAAAGGTTCTGATATGAAACAAAGTAACGATTCAGATTCAGAATTTTTACCTATCGCACAAGATAATCTGAAACAGAGTGTATTTGACGTCATAGATAATGAATATGATTCCAGTGATACTGAAATGTTTCCTTCTAAGACAGTCTCAAGTAATGATGTGCAAAGTGTTTCATCAATGTCTCGTAAAAAAACGAAAGAAAACTTAACAAGCAAACAGCGAAGAGCTATAGAACGCGCTAGTAAAAGAAAAAAGATCGGAAGCAATTTTTATGAAGTCACGAATGTGAAAAATAGGAATAAAAATAGGAAAGTCCCCAAGATTAAGAGAAAATAAATCTATTTTAGAATAAATTACATTCTATGCAAATATTTGTAAAATAAAGAAAACATTAATGAAGTATTGTAAAATATTTATATTTATCAATTTTGCTAAATCATGTATACAAATCCATCTTATATTAACTTGCTTCGTCATTATCGTGCAATCATAAACGTATTTATACGTGATTTAATATTTCAGAATGTTTTCTACTTTTTCCTATTGTATATTTTTTTCTACATCCAGTTGTGTTTAATAAAATAAAATATAACTGTTCGCAATCGTTGAATGAACAATTGGTTGCCCTGATAGGTCATCATGAAGTCTTTCATATTATCGTGTTTCAACTCGGTCTCTTGCACATTTAGTGTAAGTATCTTAAGCATGAAGAATAAATGCATAGACTCGAGCCTAGCATCAGTCAACAGCTTGGCATCAAACTTCTCTCTAGTAAATGGCTCGGTATTGCAACCCATTCGGTTTAACACAGCTATAAACGTCTCGTGGTAGAGATCTATCAGTTCTTCGATATGATCCTCGGATGAGACGACTTCTGTGCTAGAGAACAGGAAAAAGACCAGCTCGCGCATTGGGCTGAAAAATAGATAATTCTGAAAATCTACGAACTTAATATCGTCCACATGATCGTTCTCATCACGATGGAACATGATGTTGTTCACCCAAAAGTCTGCGTGGATAATAGTGGACCACGGTTCATCGGGCGTCATTGTCCAGAAGCCATATTTGAACGAGTCGCGTATGGCAGTATCGCATCGATCAACGTAAACGGATAATTCCGGGTCCTCCGCTATCCTTTTCAGCATATCTTCTCGGAAGTGTTCAAAATCCTCAGTTTTTATTTCCACACATTTACTGCGTTCCTTTAATACCTCGAAATACTCCGGTCGCTTGTATTTGGTAGCCATCCCTAACGCATGAAATCTCGCCAATGCTCGTATCGCGACTCTTGAGTGTTCGAGATCGCATCCTATAATCCAGACAAAAAAGTCGTGTATTTTCATTTATCAGATAGGGGAGATCGAGGTGGGTTGAAACAATTTTTATATCTTTCATCATAATTATCTCAAACATAATGTTAGAATTAAAATTTGTTTTTTTTTTAATCCTTTATTCATCCTTTACTAATTCTTAAAAGCAAGATTCAAACCTTGTAACTAGTTTTTGAAAAATAGACTTGGAGAAGTATTCCAACTGTTGCAATCTACCTCTAGCATTGAGGTAAGTTGAAACAGTAGGAAGGTAACTTAAAACAGATAAGTTTGTACTAAAATGAAATAATATATATATGTATTAATTGATTTTTATTTCAATAAACATGTTACAAACATTTAAGAAACCTTTTTGAGAAGTAATACAGTAGTAGTATTTATTAGTAATAATTATATGAAATAATTAAATTTCATCTTCAATTAGTTTAACGTTTAACATAATCTTTTGAGATAAAGAAATCAACTGAATTAAATCTCATTCTGTTGGAATTGTCATTTAAACTTATCTTTAATAAAATTTCAAATAAAATAAAAAAATAACCATAATAATTAAATACTCATTACCAAATATTTATTTGATATCCTCTATAACAATATAATAAATCATTTTTATACAATTACAAATCATACTATAATAAATTAAAATATACATGGAAAGAATTTTTTTCTTAGAGTTTACCCTGAAAGTATGGTAGTCGTGGGACAACATTGTATTTCGAAGAATTATCTCCTAAATCTTTTCTCATTCAATAAAACTACAATAAAATATAAAACAAATTCGATTAACTTCACTGAAGTGCTTGGTAAAAATCCTCAAAATATTGGGTAAAACTGCGGAAAAGGGAAGCAACCTCCGATGACCTTGACATATGTTAATTGTCAAGGTCGTGATCCTGAGTGACCTCAACTTTATCCGTCGGTTGTTCTTTGTTAAAAAGTTATCTCTCTTACTGCTACGAGGCACGCATAAAAATAAAATTCTCAGCTCTAAAATAAGTAAACATCCCGTTTAGGAAAACAACATATGTTAAGGTCAAGATCATCAGGGGTTTTGCTCCCCTTTTCTGCAGTTTTATCAAATATTGTATTATATCGTAACTTATATTTTCTGGATAAAGAATATTCTTTCCACAAAGAAATCTAAAATCAAGTTAGGTTGAAACAAGGTGTGTAGAGATAATTTCTACAAAACTAAAATATACATATACAAAACTAATCTCAAATCAAAAATTTAAATTATTAAGCTATAAGAACATCTAAAGTAAAACCCAGATAATGTATAAATAAAAGAAATATTATATTCCAAAGAGAATATTGCGAAAATTTACTTTACGTTAATGTGATGCCACGAACATCAGAGGAAGATAACTCAAATTGATTCATTCCCACCTCGATCTCCCCTCCCTACCGATCAACTAAGTATATATTTGCAATCTGATAATTTTCTAATTAATCTTAATTTATTCATCTTAAAGTGTGTAAGAGATTTTCAATGTGATGCAATTGTATCGATTTTATATGAAACATTTTTTACGATTTTATAAAAATCATTATGACGTAATGTCGCTCGATTTCCTGAGTAGGTATATTAAGAGAAATCGTATAAAACTTGGAAAAAATGGGGTCAAGGGAATTGGCACTATAAATTATGTTTTTGTTACTAACATCATAAACCATGTTGATAAGAAAAAAAGGCATCATTGTATTGCAATAAATGACAAATCTCCGTAATTGATTTATTATGCTGTATTGATTACTGTATCTTTAAGTAAACAATTAAAGTTCCTAGTCAGTGTCGCTTGTACACAGTAGCTGAGTCTTTTCATTTTGATATTTGATTTTTTTTATATTTTCAATTTAATATTGTCAAATAATTTAAGTGACTCACTGTATCTGATACTAACTGGCCTATATACTATTCAAAACACCGGATTTTGAACATTTTGATTGTAATGATTGCGATACTTTGTGAAAATAATGAGCCTCCTCACTCCCGGTGGAATATTTGCTTTTTTAAAAAATATCTAATTTCAATATTAACTTAGTTTTTCTTAATTTCGGCACATTATTCATTTCTTTCCTGCTTTTTCTTTTTTTCCTTTTATGTAATATGTATTCTTTTATGTATTGTTAGATGGAATTAATATTTCACATTTGATTCCTTGGTGTGGGGAAGCTTACTGCGCGTTTAAACATTTGAGTGTGTTTAAAACACTCTTGATCCTTTTTTATTTATGTTACTTTGCTTTGTCTCTGAAGGCTCAAAAATGAGCTGAAACATGTAAGCATATTTATTATAATAAAGAAGTTTCATTTGTTATATATTGGCATTTGCGTAAATTTATCCGCGCCAGACTCCTATAGTGCCCTTTTCTCTCCAAGTTTATAAACGAAGTTCATTTTAATCATTTTATTGTATTAATAATTTATATAATTTATAAAACTATATATACTATATTTGTCATTATATTATACATTTTTTATTTTATATATTACATATACAAAATATTTCGTAAGGAAACCGATAAATTTCTACAATGTATTCTAGAAGTCATTTTAAATAAAAATAAAGATACACTCAATGTAGTTATCAAATAGGTACTTTTACGAACATTGTTACAGAGAAAGAATATTAAACATTTATAACTTTTATTAGATCTATGGATGCAACACAACAGTCTATATATTTTTGTAAGCAAAAAGGAGACATTTTTTTTCAAAATAATACAATATTAGGGAAATATAATATTCATCTAATAAAATTATAAAAGTTAATAAAATAAAGATAAATATTAGGCATTTTTTATCTATTACAAAATATTAACATCCTCTAAAATTATCTCCATAACTGCTGTGTGAAGTTGGCCTTCTACTATTAAAAATCTAAAAATAATTATAACCATTCGTTTGGTGATCGTTTGGTGATGTTTGGTAGTCCATTCCGGACGTTTAGTACCCAAAGCTATAACGAGAAATATCAAAAGAAGACAAACGCGCGTGAGTTATATATAGCCCCTCCATTTCTAAAAATCGGCATTGACAGGGGTGCGTTCCAAAACTCGACTCTGTCAACTCTGAGTATCTTTCATTCTTGTTGTTCACCGAATGTTGAACAAAGATAAAAGATACTCGGAGTTGACTTGAATTTCGGGACACAACCCACATATAAAAATGACTTAATAAGCATTCGTTTGGTGGTCGCTTATACTGACATTTGGTAGTTCATTCCCGATGATTGTTAGTCAAAATTATAACTGAAAATTTCACAAACAAAAAACTATTTATTAAAATGTTAAAAACCAATTGAACAAAAAACCATATATGCTCGTGAACACGTATGTCGTTTTTTGATATTTCTAGTTATAATTTCGATTACCAATCATCGAGAATAAATTATACCAAACGTTAGTAAGCGACCACTAAACGATCACGACCACCAAACGAATATGGTACATTAGATTTACAATAATTAAATGATCTCAATTAATATTAAAATGTGACTTTTCATTTATTATGCGTAATTGCAAAGTAATTTCCTTCTCTTTCCTGTAAAAAAACTAATAGTATAAACTATTTATTTATTAGTAATGTAAACATTTTATATTTATTTTCCAATTTAAATTGCTCTTTGTTCTAAGTGTAAATGAATAATTAGGTTGACCAATTTTACTAATCTACACAAATTTTTGTATGCATTCGTAATTGTAAGTGAAATGTTTGGGGTTTTTGTCCATCAAGTTTTAGTTCTAAAAAGTTTAATATGACGACCCTAGCTATAATAATCTTTTTTAGAATGATCTTTAGAACATTTTAGAAATTTATCGGTTATTTTAGAATTTTATCACACAAAATATGCATTATTGTCATAAAGATTATATTAATCGTATTATGAATAAGGATTTAAATTAACGTTAAATCATAAACTTTTTTCATTAGGAATTCTCGGAGTTCACGAATAATTTATTATACTAAACTAAACATTTTTCTTTATAGTTTTCGAATTATAACAAAAAATTTTAATTCAAATTTAAATATTTATAAAAACATTAAAATAAGCTTAAAGTTCCTCTATAATGTGTTTCAAATAAACAAGATATTTAACACTATACCTGTAGCTCTATTGCTATTGTAATAACCACGTGCTCGTAAGTTTTCCATTAAAATAACGGCGTTATCATCAAATTCGACGTTCGGGCTCAGCGACAATCGGGACTTATAATATTTAGGCAATATGTCGAATACTTCATTCTCCTTCAATCCCATTTCTTCTTCCAGTTTTTGATAATAAGGCACAATGTCTTCATACATAAAGATTTCCTTTTTGAATGTGAACGGAGTATCAAAGATTTGGCGTTGAAATTCTGTCGGCGGCGGCATCTTCGCAATCAGATAAAGATCTTCCTCTTCTGCTTCATCGTTGCGCTTAATCACGGCGTGAACACTAAAAATGGTACTACCATAATTCTCGCCAGGCTGTAGCAAATTTTCAGTCGTATAACGGACCACTATCAACCGATCACCGAATGTGCGACTCAGTATCGGTTGTAATTCGTGCAGTTCGATCGTCTTCAATTCTTGCTGATCGTTGCTCATAGTTGTCGCACAGGTAGACAATATCAGGAAAGACTGGTATCTATATTAATTATAAATACTAATAAATAAAGCTCTCGATATCAAAACAGTAATAAGGATAAAGTAAAAACTTAAAAAGTAGAAACATGTTATGTATGCAATTTAAACATTTTAAATTAATAACAATATATATACAAGAGGCTCCTATGAATAAATCAAATATTAAAATAAATTGCCGTTGAGAGCCAACACGGGATGAAAGTGTGTGTAATAAAATTTATTTAATTACATAAAATTGCATACGTTTCGTCCAGGTCCTTTTCAATGCATGAATTACACTAATATTAAAAATTCTTTGATGGAGTATAAATAGTGTCAAAACAATTATAATATAAAAACGAACTAATAAATATATGGTGTTGTCCACTTGTAATCAAATATCACGATCATTGAAGTACAAAATTCACTGAAATATATAGTGTGATCGTGTCAGATTTTTGTAGAATTTTAGAATTAAAAGTCATAAATGAATAAATAGTGATAACATAGTATGATAAAAAACTTACATGATTGTCGAGAATTTGAAACGTGTTATTATTATAAAGATTCCATTAATTCCACAGTTTACTAATGAAATAAAATACATAAAAATAAAGAAGTTAATAATTTATGAGTAAATATTATAACTGGTTAATATAAATAATATGTATATGAATAAAGAAAAATATAAAAGTGAAAGTCCATAAAAATAAAGTTAATAATAGTTCGTTTTTGTATTATAATTGTTTTGACACTATTTACTCCATCAAAGAATTTTTAATATTAGTGTAATTCATGCATTGATAAGGACCTGGACTAAGGTCGAAACGTATGCAATTTTATGTAATTAAATGAATTTTATTACACACTTTCATCCTGTGTTGGCTCTCAATGGCAATTTATTTTAATATTTTATTTAAACATTTTAATTATATTTCTAATTTTTTTTTCATATATATTAATTTTTCAATTCTATTTATTGACGACTCTCGATTTACTTTTCACTTTATCCTTATTATTATATTAATTATCACGTTTTGTGGCGAACGAACACTGTACAAGGCGAGATATTACGTGTGAATGAAGCACGCGCGTATCTGTGGCTACGTTCCGTCTCACGCATATGCGCGCATTCCCCTATAGTATATGTGATCACTATATAAAATGTGCGCATATACCTGAAACGGAACGCAGCCTGTATATGCCCCACATCGGGTAATCATTTCATTTGCAACAGCAGCAGCCACTGCCATTGCCACAGCCGCCTTTGCTTCGGCTGGTGGAGGTAGGATCCACCTCCTTCCTAGTATCATACTATTTCTACATTGTTACGTAGTCACTATTACTCAACTGTGTCTATCTATGTGTTTTGTACGTGCCGGATGAGATTAATTTCCGCGCATATCGTCGACTCACACGTGTAAAGTTTTGTCAAATACCAATTTTCCGTTCTTGGAACGATTTCCCCTGCCAATGATTATCAGCTTCGTTTCTCTCACTACCAGTCCCTCAATCAGTTTGTCCTTGTTTCTCCTTGAGATATCTATAATCATCGTGATTCACGTATAATTTCCGTATTCTATTTATGACTATTTCTACAATAATTGCACTGTGTTACGCAATAAGTAACTATTGCAGTTAAAAAACTATGTTATTGCCTTGTCATTATTTTGAATTGGAAAGGGAGATTAGATTAAATAATAATCTCGGATTATAATCACTGAATTGTGGCGTCGAGTAGCTCACCGCTCGGTGCGATTGACTCGCGATCTGTAGACCCGAGTTTAATCCCACGTACGCCCAAACGCGATTTTTCGCGTTTAATGAGCCGAAAAATGGCTCCACCTGGTGATCAAAAGATCTATGGATCATCAGCGCAGTTCGGATTCGGCGTTAAATTGTAGGTCCTATACATCAATATACATCAGTAGATATTTGTTTCTAATATCTGACTGAGGTAGGATTCTGTGGATTAATCACCCACAAATCCGAAAACAATTTGATTCGAGAAACGAATATAGGCCTTGGACAAAAGTGGAAGAGGCCTGTAGACGTCCTATGCTCCACATGAGGAGATAAAAGGAGTCATCATTATTATTATAATCACTGAAAATGTGCTTAAAAAGAATATCTTTATTTCTGAAATAACAGAACAATGATATAAAAATATATTTTTCTGGCATTCATATGGCAGTTGTGTATAAGATAGTATATATAATTAAAATTTGTATGTGTAGATATACGATTAAAATAGAGAACATAAAATACAATATATTGCATTATATATCTCTAATCACTCTAGCTTTATAGCCTTATCGTCCATACGTTAAAATTTCCGATTTTTTTCCCTTCTTATATAAATTTATTATAACTTTTACGAGTTGCCGATGGTAATAAAATCTTTATTTTGGCCGATTTTCTTGCTCGATAAATTTGCTATGAATGTCCCATAAATTCTACAAAAAAAAAAAAAGATTATAAATTTAATTATGTAGGATTGTTGAGATGATATATATTCATTACAACAATTTGCATAAAAATAAGAATATATCAACAAAGAGTGTTAATATATCTTATCTCTAATGTATTCTTTTTATTAAAAGATATTTTTTATAGGAAGGAAAATGGATATGTATAACTCGTATAGTACAGAAAATTTTGATTGAATATAAAAGTCATGGAGGTACCGTTTTTAATTGTTTTGCACTGTACGGCGGGGGATTGCATTTCCATCTTCCTCAATCAATTTGCGATGAACATCACTGAGCGCCTAAATAGCATATAAATTGAATACGAGACGCAGTTTTAATATTGTGCCTAGATGTAATTAATGTCTCTACTTCGTGACAAAAAATAATGCTTAGTCATGATATGCTGATATAACGAGATAGACGAGATTACCTTGAAATATTTAACCGTTTTCACACGTAACTCCAGAGTTGCGTCTTCATCACAAATTATAAGCGTACGAGGATGTTGTTGAAACGCAGATACCGTCCACATATGGTTAATACCTTCTTCTATAGCTTTGTACAGGGCAAAAGCTTTGTGAGATCCAGTGATAAGAATCATTACTTCCTTTGCGTCCATTACAGTACCGACGCCTACAGTCAGTGCTTGTTTTGGTACTTTGTTAATATCATTTCCGAAAAATCTCGCGTTTGCTTCCAAAGTGTCTTGCGCAAGAGTTTTCACGCGTGTGCGAGAAGCTAACGACGAACCTGGCTCATTAAAGGCTATATGTCCGTCTGGTCCGATACCTAGAAATAATTTTAAAAATTATTTTCAAATTCTTACTACATATAAACATCTCTTGTTTAGATTTAATAAAACTGTTGTTGTACCTCCGATGAACAATTCTATTCCGCCAGCCTCTTTAATCATTTTCTCGAAATTATCACACTCTTTTTCAAGGTCCGTCGCATTTCCATCAAGTATATGCACATTTTTCGGATCAATATCTATATGTTTGAAGAAATTATTGTACATGTAATAGTGATAAGATTCTGGATGATCTCTTGGTAAATCAACATATTCGTCCATATTGAATGTCTTAACATATTTGAAGGAAATTTTGCCTTGTTGATAATATTCTATAAGTTTTTTATACATCCCCAAAGGTGTCCCTCCTAGATGGAAAGAAAATAAAAAAATTATTAGAATAATAATGGTATGTTAATAACATTAATAAACAAATATTTAAAAAAGTTATTATTAACTTAGTTATTGAAAAACTATTTTTTTATTTAAGTATTATATACCTGTAGGAAGACCGAGAACAAAATACTTGTTCTCATTAGGATTAAAGTCATTGATTCTCTTTAAAACATACTTCGCAGACCATTCTGCGACATAGTCCACGTTATCGCAAATTACGAGACGCATAATAAATATATTGATTGCACACAGTTAAAAAATTGCACACTGTAACATGAATACATATACAATTAATATCATTTTAATACTAAATTAATATGTTTATCTAATCTGAATCTAATTATGAGCAATTTTACGTCAAATCAGATAGCGAATAAATGAGTATTTTTCTTTTAGAATTTTTTGTTCTTATATACGTAGGATTAAATTACATATTTATATTAAGTTTTATTGTTATAACCATATGTTTTTCGAGATACGGAATTTTTTGAAATAAATTCCGAGGTCATCCGTTTAAAACACTCCGTTTAAAACACTTTCAAACAATTTAAAATATAAAACTCAATCATTTTAAAGTGGAGATTTAAGTATCATATTTTTTTATACGTAAATAAACAAAGTTTTAAATAATGTGTATTTCGTGATAAATAAATATATTTAAATTTTTTAAGTAAAAAGAAAAAACGATCTAAATCGAGCGGTAATAAGATTTTTTTTAATAAAATAAATTTTTAGTTTACAATATACATGTTAATACAAATACAACATAAAGATAAAAAAACATTTGCGATTAACAGAATCAGACGAATACGTAAAATCAGACGAAAACGTTCCTGTTTTCAGACAATTTATTACACAATTTCCACATTCACGCGAAAACAGGGAAATCAATTTCTTCTAACAAATGATACCAGACCATATCGCTTAGATATCGTATTTTAAGATTATGCTTTCATCTCTATGACATTGTAACATCGATAAGAATCATTGAAGAAGGATCCATGTGTGTGAGTTCCGAAACGTTCGATATTATTTTTATATTTATTTTATATTTTTAAGTTATATTAACATTGTAAACTAGAAATTTATTTTATAAAAAAATCTTATTATCGCTCAATTTATACAGTTTTTTTTTATACTTTGCATTGCAAAAAACGAGCGAAATCTAATTAAATTTTTTAGTTTTTAAATTATAATTCTATCGTTCTCCAAATTATAAAAAATGTATATATCATTTCTTGATTATTTTAAAAATAAGACTAACAATGAATAAAAAGTAAGACATCTTTGAAAACATTTAAAAAAATGTAATGTCATTTGTGATTACTCGCATATTAGAAATATTACGTTACAACAAAATACACTACAAAACTTTTAAATAGTATATTTAAGATAGTTTTTAAGAGATAAAATAATATATCTGTTAAAAAATTATCCTTTTTATTTTATATACTTTTTTTAAATTTCATGTTTTATACGTTTTTCTTTTATTATTAAAAGGAACATTAATATTCTCAAGAGGAAACTTGCAACAAAGTTACATTCTTATCAGACAAAATATACATCACTTTATCTCTAGTAATCAAAAACCGTAAAAATCAACCATAACAGGAAAGACAACATAAAGCTCAACATAAGATAGTCTTGACATTTTAAAAAGAGCTTTACGAAATTACAAAAAATAAACCACTACTTTATCATGTGTACAGACTCATTTTCATTCACCACGGCAAATATCTCAAAAAACATGACAGATATGGAAAAAATGTTTTTGATAAAAGTGGAAAGATTTCAAGGGCATATTTTGATTATGTTGTTTTTTTTAGATAGAGGTGCCAAAAAGATACAAAGGTTACCTCTACTTTTAAATGAAATGATATATTTCTTTGTAAATATAATTCTTCTAATTATTCTGCATATAAAATACGGTAACAGTATAAAAAAAATGAACAGTTTATAAATATTTAATATTTCATGTCAATATGTGCCAGAATAAAGTCTAACATATGTCGTAAGCTATTAGACATCTCTATTTTAATATCTTTATATGCAGAATAATTAGAGAAATTATATTATGTATTAAAAATAATTATATAATTCTAGCTCAAGAAACAAAATTAACCTTCAAATTTCTGAAATGCAACTTTGATTACACAAATTTTCCTCTGAACTTTACATATTCGAAAATACTTCAGGTAATAATTATTACCTCCCCCCCCCATTTTATATAATATTTCATATATGTAGTATCTGCTTTTTTCTACTGATCGAGTATTGTCTTCTATTGTCACTCCAATATTTTAATAAAAATTTGCAAAACAGTATATACAAAAAAATATATTATATTATCATACTGTTGAGAATACATACAGAAGTGTATAAGTACATATTTATATAACGATTTTCAACACTTTACATTTTCAAGAAAAATTATCAAAAAAAAAGAAACATTTTCAGATATAAATAGAATAGAAATGTTTAAATAAAGTTCAAACAACTTCCTCAAAATAAAATTGATAAGTTCCATGGAAATTCCCTGATAAAAAAAAATTTCAATATTCCATATTTTTTCAAGTTTTTCCAAGGAGTAAATGATCTGTCAATTTATATTAATAAAATCAGGGAATCTTACAAATTAGTCATATAAGAGAAACATTTGCACATGTGTAATTAAAAACATCATAAATTATTTAATTTATCTAAATACAAGAAGCATAATACATTGTAATATATGTTATAATTGTAATAAGACTGAAAACAAACTTTTATCTACCAGACATATTTGCGCATTCATGTCTCAAAGATAAACTTGTGACATGTTAACCTTTTAACTCATATGCATAATTATTGCAAAATAATGTTATATATACTGTTCAGATTTGTATAAAACATTTTAGATATATTAATATCGAGATCAATATATCTACCGATATAATTTTCAATAAGATTATCATTTTATTGCAAATAAAATTTTCATATCATATAATCAAGATTAAAAACGTAGATATATATATAGGTAGTACAAGAGTATCTAAAATTCATATCGACAGATACACAACATATTTATCTTCTTCATAAACATTTGCTTATCACTTTTTGACCTGATTCACAGACTGTAAAAC